AGCAGGACTTCTTGGATACTTTTCACAATCTTACTCTTAAATTGCTTTTGCAGTTTAGCTGGGTGAATGCCTACTGTCCTCATGCCAGGTTCATTATGTCTGCAGATGATGATATATTTATCCATATGCCAAATCTTGTTGCTTATCTGCAAAATCTAGCACAGATGGGTGTTCAAGATCTCTGGATTGGTCGTGTCCACCGTGGATCCCCTCCCATAAGAGACAAGAGTAGCAAATACTATGTTCCCTACGAAATGTACCAGTGGCCCTCTTATCCTGACTACACAGCAGGAGCTGCATATGTGATATCAAGTGATGTAGCAGCTAAAGTATATGAGGCTTCACTGACTCTCAATACAAGTCTTTATATAGACGATGTTTTCATGGGTCTCTGTGCCAATAAAATGGGAATTGTACCACAGTACCACGTATTTTTTTCTGGGGAAGGAAAGGCTCCATATCATCCCTGCATTTATAACAGAATGATGACATCTCATGGACATGTATATGATCTTTACCAGCTCTGGGAGCAGGCCACAGATCCCAAAGTTAAAAAAATTGCTTCAGGGATTTGGGGTAGATTATACTGCAGACTAGTCAATATTGTGCTTCTCTGTAAACTATACTATGAGGACACATATCCTTGTTCAGCTGCATTTTCTTAATACTTGAATATCTGTGTTGAAGATCCACTGAGCCAAAGCAGAGCAACAACTCTTTAGCTGTTTATTAAAAATATATGTAAACATGGAAAGAGGTAAAACTGAAATGTGAATAGTTGGAGGTGGGGGGAAGATGGTCCCAGATACTGTTCAGAAACTTACTGGAATAGCTCTCCTATTGTACTGCAACCTTTAACATTGTAGCCTGGTTTGTTGTTTGTTTGGTTCTTTTACACTTCAAGGGATGGAAGTCTGGATTAAATGAACTACAGTGGATTTGACTTCTAGACTCCAAAATGCTTGGTGAAAATGTCTGTTACTTTGAACTTGTCAGTAAGTCTTAAGCTTTTTCAGAAAAAAAGCTATGTGAACTAAGGCACATGATAAAGAATCTGCTATATCAAAATGGGGTACATCTTTCAAAACACAAGGAGCATAGAACCTCTGACTTGATGAATGAGGCTATTGCAGTAGTTTAAGGAAATGTGAAGTGGTTAGAAATATTCACCATTTCTCAGTGCTTCACAGAAAGTAAGTCTGGACCTACACAATTGACAAACAGTGAGTGCTAGAAGTGAAGACCTGCTACAGTCTTCTCAAGGCTTCCTAGATCTTTGAAACAGGGAGCAGTGTTTCAGTGCCCTCTAACTTGGTTGTTTTAAGTAACAAAGGTGTTCCCTTTAGATCAGGACTGAACTTGAAAGGATAAAACAAGTATTTCTTATGTAACTGGTTTTGCTAATCTTTCTCTGCCTTCTGAAAACTGAAGCAGTACATTTGAAAGAAAACTTTAATAAGCAAATAAGCTAAATGAATTTTCTTTTAACAGTGCTTCTGCTTTTAAATATTCATGTTTCTTAAGGTAAAGCAAGCAGAAGTCCCTGAGAAATGTGACTTTTAGCTAATTTGAAGCTGTTAAAGACTTGAAAAAGCAAAATTTCATGCTTGTACTAAGAGGGAGGAGGGTATTTTCTGTGCAGTTTGATTTCACAGTGAGTGGATAGGAAGATGGTGATCCACAGAAACACAGTACTCAGAACCACCAAAATATTTCTCCAGAAGTCTTAAGCACAAGATTGTCTTCAAAATTTTAGGGTAGTTGATGTCCACCAAACCATGTATCTTGAATTTCTTTCCATGTTAATATCACCCGCAAAAGGAACAAAACACCTGTGCATTGTAAATCTGGATTGAACTAAGTGATGCTTAACCTCCAGCCATTATTAATTGTACTGTGGTGCCATATAAATACTGCAGAGAACCAATTTCTGGGATGTCTGCAGTCTTGTCTTGTATAGCTCACTAATGGTGCTTTCACAGATGCTCAGGACAAATATTGTAGTTACTAATCACCAAACCTGTGGTAGCCCTTCTTGGAGTGGACACACAGCCCACACAAGGTACAGTCAGATATAGTTTGTGAACAGTTTGATGCTGGAACAAGTTACAGTATGGATAGTAGTTTTCAGAGGACTACTTCTGAAAGCTTGAATGAGTCAAGTTTATCAGCAGAGCAGTAACAATGCAAAAGCTGACAAATTATCAAGCATCTGTTGGAAATGTCAAAATTATAGGAGCAATACTACTTGCTTTCTGTCTAAGAGGAGCCTTTTTCTTCTGCCTGAAATTTCTCAGTGTGGGGCAGTGAAGTACTTGATCTGGTCTCTTCTGACTTGACTGTAGAACAGTTATACATGACTTGGCAGTGTTGAGCTACAAGTAGTAAACTTCTGTTTAAGGAACTGCTACTGTACTTGGAGCTGTGCTGCAGGTTTTCATGGTTTGAATGGTTAATGGTATATGGTAGCATAGACAGAATCCAGGAGTAAGCTTGTTGACTGTTTTCTAAGCTGCCATTTCAGATGGATGGTGGGTAGCTACTGGAACTGAGTGAAGTATGTAAATTGCTATAATTGGATTTCCAGAAGGAAAATAAGAAACCTAACTGAACCCAAATGTTGGATACATAAAGAGTCCACAAATGAATAATTTTTCAGTGTTAGAATGGTTGAAGAATGTAACAGCTATACTTCAAAAAGAACAAACCCAGTTCCTGTTCTTGCCTAAACAGATTGAATACAGTACTTGAGGATAAGTGGTCTTTAAAACAAAAACTCAAATCAACCCTAGATCCATATATAAATTGTTGGCTTACAGAGAAATTAATGCACATATAAAGTAGTGTTCTGTACTGAAGAAAAGCTGCTTCATCAGATCTCAGACCTGTTGTGAGTCATTTATATGAACAAGCTGCACCGCAAAACTGCACTACTAGAAAAAGCAACCCATGTAGGGGAAAGAGGGTCTTCATATGCAGTATGCAACCAAACTGTACTTACTAAGACTACAACTTTCTCAGCATAGCTGTTGGGATTTATTGTTTTCAGTCATACAAGTGAAGGTAAAAGTTTTAAGTAGCTTGAAGTTCTATAGGATAATGACTTAATAACATGTAGTTTGCTATTATCTGGAAGTCACTTTTGACCATTGAAATATTTTGTTTTACAGCTGGTTTGAGTTTTGTTTGGACTGTTTCTAAATTTTAAAAGGGCTTTGATGTTTGTAGTATGCATTTTCTTTTGCTGCAGTGAAAAGAAGTTGCTTGTTGAATAAAAAGGAAGGCATGAAGGCACTCCTTTAAAAAAAATGGAGAAGCTAGAAAACTTATTTTCTGATTCTAAACACTGACTTAAGATTTGTACACATTTATCTAGAATCTTTTTTATCAGTAGTCTTAGTGCTCCAATGCAGGGCTGTCAGGTTTTACTTCTACAAATAAAACTTGTCAGCCTGAATGGTCACTCCTCATCCAGAGTTTGACATTGTTGCACAGCATATTTAATGCTAAAATTGTTTTTACCTGTTTGTTTGGTTTGCATCAGTTTCCCTTTGATATTACTAATTTTTATACAAAGTATTCAATATTTATTCTTAAACTTTGCTCTGTACCACAAAGACAATTGTTTTGTAAAACTTGTTTTGAATAAACAGACTTATTTCTTTTAAAAAACCAACAAAACAACACAACAAAGGTGGTAAATCTCTCGTGTTGCTTTCTTTGTAACTGCCTCTTATGAGAGGACTTTAAACTGCTCTCCTTCTTCCCCTGCTTCCTTTCTATTCTACCTTGAATCAAACCTTTTGTGGAACAAAAGGCAAAATTGGTGTTCCTAAGAAAGGAGGCAGCTCAGAAACGTGTTTACCCTTTCTAGGTCTAAAGTTGTGTAAAACTGCCAGATATTAGAAGGTTAACCTGTTGTTAATATTAACTCCAAAAGTGTATGTTCTCTTTAGGCAGTAATTGCTCAGATGTATATCTATCTAATAAGTTATACTTCAGATTATACTTTGCACTTTCAAAACTAGCTGGTGGTTTGGAGACCAGTCATAGTATTTTCGGAGTATAATTAAATTCAGATATACAAAAATTCAACTTTTTCCTGTTTCTCCAATTTGTCTAGCATACTGTATCAAACTAGTGTTTTTCACACCAAATAACTTCTGTGTATAACTGTAAGAGGCATAATGCAAGTATAAATTCTTTAAATCATACTGAAGAAAAGAACAAAAGGAGTGAAGTCAGAGAGAATTGTGGGGCTTGGCTTGTTGCAGGGTGTGTTTTGTTGTGGGTTTTTTGGTTTGTTTTTTCAGTTGCTCCCATTCGTCTAGAAACAGTTCAGTTCAACTAAATTAAACCAGGTTTGCTTGGTACTTTTTGCTAAACTAAATCACTTAAGTATTTGATGTTTTACAATACATTGTTAATAATCTTCTCAAGACTTTGTAGAAAGGGAGAAAAGATTATTGGTTGGATTAAAAAAACCCAGAAGATTCTCAGAGGCATATAGGCAAATATTAATATCATAAACACAATGAGATCATCTTCAATGCTGCTTTTTAAAAAATGCATGCAACACTTATTCTAATGACTGACTTTCTCATGTCATGTAATTAATGGTTCTAAGGAAAAGACCAGCAAAAAAACCCCAAGCCTCCACCCCAAAAAAAAGGTACATCCTGTTTGGTTCTCCAGCTGGTACTGTGTATAAATGCATGACTATTAGCATCTCAGTGACTTGATTATATCCAATTACTTATTAATCCAGGTGAACTTAAAAGAATTTGTAAGGAATGTGCTAGAAATAGTTGAATTCTAAGAACAGCAACAAAAAATAGATACTGGCTCATATAGGCAGCCTTACCTCCTCCTTGTTGACAAGTTCTCATCACTCTCGCTCATTACTAGGACTCTGCTAGATCCTCCTTGACTAGCTTCATGCATCACTTCAATCTGAATAAAAAGGATGTATTAAAAGCTGACCTTTTAAGATAATTTTAACTCTTTAAAAGAATAAACCCCAGATCCTATCTAGCCTAGTAAGCCACTGGACAAGTTAAAATAATAGAATTCTAGATGTGCTTGTTGTAAATCAGGAATACCTTCTCTCTCTGTTTTTCTGCTGCCTTGGTAGTGGCAGAGGTGGCATTCTTGACTCCAGGCAAAGTCTTTTATGTTCTTCCCCCACAGAAGGTAAGTTAACTCCTTATGTAGGTATTTAAAGGTGTTTTAAACAGGATTTTCCTCCTTTTGACTGCAGCTTTAAAATACTGAGGCTTACTCAAAGGCAATCTCCTAAAATTCAGTAGAACAACTCAGCTCCTGAGTTTGCAGTTTATCCAAGACAATATCTATT